GGACAGGCCCGATTTCATGTTAGAAATTCTAAGCCTCCAAACAATCGGGAAACAGACGAGGCATCCGGGCCGCATGCTCCGCGCGCGCCACGAGGCCCAGAACGGCACCCCCCCGCAGAAGCAGCACGACGCTCGGGCAGCAGCGAGAACGGCCAAACTGACGGGAGCTCAAGATGCGACCGTGGCTGGCAGGGCCCATTCTTGGGCCTGGCAAGGTGTACTCGCCTCCTGGCCCATGCTGGGAGGGCGTAATACAGACCACAGGATGGCCCAGGCTGGACACGTTGGCGGTGTCTAGATGCCGTCTGCGGGCGAGAGGCGTTTCTTATTTCCCGGACGCACGCACGGCCTCCCGAGAAAGGTGGACGAGGACACGAGGGTGAGTGGACAGCGTGGTTGGCAAAAATGGCTGTCACGAGCATCCGCAATGAGTCTGCTACCGCGCTGTGCCACGGCTGTTGCGCCCAGGGCTATGTTTGCTTCCTTCTCTGACTGTGCCCCCCCTCGGGACCGCATCGAGGCGCACGTGCATCCGATCGGCTCAGAATCCGCATTCGATTCCCGAGGCAACCACGACACACACACACACACACACACGCACGAAATCCCATATCCGCTCATGGCCACTCACAGGCTGGACCATCCAGACTGCCCCTCCGCCAGCCCCAAGACGGCCGAAGACCACGACCCAAGGCATGTCCACCTGGCCGTCCCTGGGTCCTCCCCAGCTGGCGACAAGACGCCCCAAGCGAGGCCGAAAACCTCTGACAATGCCGCGGCCCCCCACGATGCCCGACAAGCTCACCCAGCACACCCAACAGGCTTCGAGAAGCCCCCGCGCTGCCTCAGAAAGACCCCCTCGGGAGGCCCCAGGAGAGCCAAGACCGCCAGACTTCTCTGGGCGACGCCCTGGCAGTCCAGGAGGGAACACGGCCGACACTCCCCCTGGAGGTGGCCCCCCCCCCCGGGCGGCCGCAGAGGGCCGGGACCCCGCAGGACGGCCCCCTCCACTCTCCTCCGGCGGACTCGTGCGATCCCGAAAGTTTCGGCCCTGCAGGACCCTTCCCCGCCACAGCTCCGAGGCCCCCCCGGGAAGGCCCCGAAGACCGAAAAGACCTGACAGGGGGCCGAAAAGACCTCCCCAAGAGGGCCCCCAAGAGAGAGGCCCCGAAGAGGCCACAGGGAGGCAACGCAACAGCGGTGCAAAGCTACAGCCTGGCCACACTTGAATGAACATGTACGGTAAGGCTTCTTGCTGCAACAAATCTTGGAGCACGTTCTTCGTCTATCCGATCCTTGCGGGTCCCAAAGTTTACCAAATCTTCTGCGGCACCCCAGGTTCTTCGGGAGATGGGAGAAACTTTCGCGGCGCACCTGCCAGCAGGCCGATATCTTCCCCGACGTGCCTTCAGTGGAGGCCAGTCCACAAGAAACCCAAGAAACCTTCCACAAGAAACTCAACCCTGAGATCCCAGGACGTCCATTGATTCTTGGTGTGGGAACGTCGCGCTTTCCATAGTAGAACCATCGAAACCCAAGAAACACAAGAAACCCAGGGCACCCTGGAGGCAAGCGGGGTGTTTCTTGGCGTGGGCCTCCGCTGTGCTGTACAACATTGCGCCACAGCTTCCCCAGTCGGGGGGGCAGACAGATGTGCGCGACAGCGCAGCTCGATACAGGGGCATCACGGACGCCGTCCGCTCGTCGACGCCCATGTCGGCACAGCTCCTCGCGACGCCGCGCTCGTCCTGCAGGGCCATGGCCTTCCAGAGCCTATAGATGCAGCCAGGACCATGACAAAATCGGACCAGGACAAGTCGAGGATCTCTGAGATCCGGCGGCCCTGGAGGATGCATCGGGCGCCGCGGCGATTCCAGAGCGCTCCGGTCCGAAAGTCTGGAACTAATTGGGGGAGACAATAAGGTACCGATACCGCTTCTCCCCAGACAGCTCCAGGGGCGCGTTCTCACCTGAATTTCGAGGCAAACCTAGCAGTGGTGGCGAGGGCCTTCCCCGAGGCCCCAGGAGGCGGAAACGAAGGAAGGGCGTAGCGGCATCGGTGCCTCTTCCGCCTCTGACCCTCAGACCTGACGTTGCATCACCGAGAGTCGCCACCAGAGCCCAGGACCTGCACGGTTTCCCCCGGGGCCGTAGGCGACCCGAGGAGGAGGAGGAGGAGGAGGAGGAGGAGGAGGAGGAGGAGGAGGAGGAGGAGGAGGAGGAGGATGAGGAGGTGGAGGAGGGGGGGAGGGGGAGGAGGAGAGGGAGGAGGAGGAGGGAGGAGGAGAAGGGGAGGAGAAGAGGAGGAGGGAGCGGCGAGAAGGAGGAGGGAAGGAGGAGGAGGAGGAGGAGGAGGAGGAGGAGGAGGAGGAGGAGGAGGAGTGGAGGAGGAGGAGGAGGACGGATCGATCTGTGAGGGCCCCGGGGCCCGAAGCTGGGCAGAAACGCCCGTTGTGAAAAAACTGCGACGCCCGGATCTGAGGGGAGGTGTCTCCTGCTGGCGGCACGCACGGGGGGGGGGGGGGAACCGGAGGCTCCTCCTAGAAGGCGGGGCTGCTTCCTGGAAGGCGGCGGCCCCACATCTGCAGCTACGAGGCCCGCGCCCTCTGAGAAGCAGGGGCGCCGCTGAGAAGCCCCAATCCCCCCTCCCCCCATAGAACGCCCTCTGCGCTCGGTTGCCTGCCCGGCCCCGGCCCCGACCGTTTGGACGCCCGAAATGGGTACGGAAAAAATGGGCACAATGCCCAACAACAAACGTGGTCCCAAACCAACAGCGGCCGCTGTTGGGCGGGCGGCCTCCTGTCTCAAATGGACACAGGCCGCGGCGGCGCGGACAGCGCGTCCTGTTCAAAACGAACAGGAACTGCTGTTGGGCACCGTATGACAGGGGATATGTCGACCCCTATCCCAGGCTTCGTGGTGTTCTGGAGTGGACCAGAAATGTGGGGCCCGACCCTGGGATACAAGATGGAAGGACGTCCATCCTCGATAGGAGTGCATCCGAAGAGCCCCCTTGGGGTGTACCCCAGGGTTCCCCCCCTTGTATAAGCGGCCAATTTTTCGGGTGGAACTCGGGGATTGGGGGAGAAAAATCGCCTGCGACCGTACCCATCCTTTCCGTGCCCATTTCGTTCGTGCCGAGCCCGAGAGCCCTCGCTGCGCGGCGCGGGTCCGCTCCGGCAGCTCCCGGTAGAGGCCGTGGTCCAGCAGCGCCAGGCGGGCGGAGGCCCGGGCCCGCCCGGCGCCGGGCTCCGCGGGCGGCGGGAGGTTACCAGCCTCGAACTTACCCCTTATCCCTATGCTGGGCATCGCCTCATCGCGATGCCAATCTTAGGGGTTCCCTGAGTTTTTCAGGGCGAGTCCCTGAGATTGTCATCGCCTTTTGGCGTGTCAATCTTAGGGATAGGGATAAGTTCGAGGCTGGTGAGGAGGACCAGCAGGTTGCCCGGGTGCGGGTCGCAGGTCGGGTGCTGCCAGAGGTGCCCCTATATTCAGTCCCACCGGCCCCCTCGAGGCAGGAAGAGATCCCGGCGGGCGGTGCTGTGCGCCAGTTTCGGCCTATATGGGGGCCCTCACCGGGCCTCTGGGAGCGTCAAAGAACGGCTCGGGATGAAAAACCGGTCCCGGGGAATGGGTTGAGACCTTTGGGGATCGACGTCATGAATTGAGCAGGGACCGACCGTCCCGGCATTCCTATAGTCCTACCACGAAACGTTCTTAGAACCCAAAAATGCTCTAAGAACAAAAACAATGTTCTTAGAGCATATGCCCGATGTGATAAAATAAGACAGACTCTGCCAGAAGTGTTCCAAGAACCTTTCGTGGAAACCACAAAAGGTTCTTAGATCATTGCTTGGTAGGGCTATAGGCGAGCCAGGACGCTTCGCCAAGGCTTGAATGAAGAAATCATGGCGCCGGGGGTCTGGGGTCAAGGCGCAGATTGATGATGCGCGGTATAAGGATGCACGGGCCTAGGAGGGCCATGCCGGCCATGTTGGTGTTTTCGAGAGGCGCTTCCGAACCGCCAGCACTCTCGGGTGGGGAAAATCCTGATAGCCTCGCGCGCAGCAAGCTGAGACCCAGTCCACGTTGGATCCACGTCGGATCTACGTCAGTGACACGCAGGGTTATACGTCGGATTTGCGGATTTACGTCGGAACAGCGTTGCGCGACCGTCGTCCAGCGTCTGACGACGCGGACGTGCAGACTAGATAAAAAAAAACTGTTGCGCGCCGCGCGAGGCCTCCAGGGTTTTCCTCATAGCCAGAGGTGCCCCTGACCAGCCTCGATCTCGTCCCTAACCCCCAAGACTGCCAAGCCCGAATGCGATGGCGATAGTAAGGATGCGCCCTCAGAAGCTGAGGGGATCCTCAGGATCGGCATCGAGATCAGGTGATGCCAATCATGAGGATAGGGCTCTGTTCCAGGCTGGTAGGTCCCTCGCCCGGGCCCCTGACGCCTCGAGGAACTCCAGGCGGAGTCTGCTGGCCGCTATTCGGCCTCCGGGGGGCCCTCCCCAGGCCGCGGGACGGTCGGAGAACGACTCGGGACGCAAAGCTGGTCATGGGGATTTCTAGGATCCCCCTCCCCCCCCCCTCCCCCTCCCTCCTCCCCCTCCCCCTCCCCCTCCTCCCTCCTTCCCTCCTCCTCCTCCTCCTCCTCCTCCTCCTCCTCCTCCTCCTCCTCCTCCTCCTCCTCCTCCTCCTCCTCCTCCTCCTACCTCTGATGGGGAGCCACATCCGACAAAAGACACGACGCAAAGGTGAGGGCAAGGTGTAACCAAGAGTTCCACCGAGCCCCCTCCCCCCCCACGGCCTCCAGAGCACCCGTCACGAGGCCCCGAGGACCTCAGGGAGGCCCCAAAATGGAGCTGGGGATACCTTGCTCCTCCTCCTCCTCCTCCTCCTCCTCCTCCTCCTCCTCCTCCTCGCCACCTTTAGCAGCCCCCGAGCAGTGGACGAACCCGAACTCGAAGATCATTGCCGCGAAGCTGTCCAGCAGCAGCTGCGCCACGCCTCGCGCCGCGGCCTCCTTGTCGGTGGGCGCCGCGGCCTCCGCGCCGGCGCCCGCGGCGAGGGGCGGGGAGGCGGCGGGCTGCGCCGACCGGCACAGCTCCCGGATCGGCACGCCGTCGATGAAGTCCATCACTGCGGGCAAGATGTGCATCCACATCCGCTGCGTCTTGGAGTCTCGGGCTCCTTTGCCCCAGAAGCCTACGGGCGCAGTGGATGTGTAGAAAGATCTTGCCCCCTTTGGGGGGGCCAGATCTGTATCCATCATCCACTGCGCCTCGGCCTCGCGGCGCCCCTTCCCAGAGACTCCAAGACGCGGTGGATAGGGATGCAAATCTTGGCCGCAATCGTGAGCAGCCGGCTGCTCGACAGAGCAGGGTGAACTCGTGGGACAACCACCAAGTCCGAGAGCCGCGGGTGGCTCGCAAAGAGCTCCCGGCACCGCGTCGCATTCCGCGCCTCGCGCAGGAAGTCCACCTCCAGGGCGATGTTCGCCTCGAACTCGTCGATCGCCCACGCGAGCGAGAAGCCCTCCTCGCGGAAAGCAGTGGAGGCCAGCCGGTCTAGCCAGCGGACGATGCCAGAAGGAGAAAGAACTGCACACATATGAACGTTCCAAGATCCGAGCGGATTTCTTGGATCGGTGCTGAAACCCCCTACCTCGCGCGCGGAGCGCACCAGGGGGAACGGCGCGGGAGGCGCCGCCAGGGGGCCCAAGGGCCGATCCACAAAATCCGCGCGGACCTCTGGAAATGCATGTGTATATGCCGCTTTTTCTTCTTCAAGATATAGAGGTTCGGCGGCGAGCGAGAGGGGGAATCGAGAAGGAGAAGGCCCTCTCAGAAGGCGGCGTGGCTTCTCAGAAGCCCTCGCGCCTTCTGACAAGTGTCTTCGGGCGAGGCTTCGAACACTCCTCAGAAGGCTGGGGGGCTTCTGAGCATTCTGAGAAGGCCCGCCCCTGCTCATCTCCCCCCCCCGGCTGGCCGCCGAGAGGTCGCTGGCGATAACCTGGCACAAGTTCAGGTGCTGAACCTTCAGCGCCACCACGGTGCCGTCCTGCAGCACGGCGCGGTGCACCTGCGCCAGCGAGGCGCTGCCGACGGGCGCCTCCTGGACCTCCGCGAAGGGGGCTCCCGGCCCGACGAGCTCGGCGCACGGGGGGAGCCCGACCTCGTCCCGGATGGCCACCGCCACCTCATCAGGGGAAGGAGAGGCACCGATACCGCTGCTCGTCCTGGAAGCGTCGCGCGATCGGTGCGCTCCGTTCCGTCCCGTACATCGCGGCTCGGAGCGGTGCCCGCCCGTGGAAGCACCCCCTGCACCCGAGCAGGCGAAAGGGATGGGGGGACAGTGCACGAATGCAGGCGCCAGTCCTCTGGAGACGCCTACCCAGACCCCCGACGTCACGATTTTTTCAACACGTCGACCCCCAGAGGTCTGGACCCAATCCCGAGGACCGGGCTTTCATCCAGAGGCGCCGTGTGACGGTCCTAAGGCCCGGCAGGGGCCCCCGTACGCCGAAAATAAGGAAAAACCTCCCGTCGTGTTTCTGTTCATGACTCGGAGGGGTAAAAGGTGCCCATTCCTCCTCTGATCTTCTCCGGACCCTCGCTCTGCATGCCAGCCGCCAGCCTATGGCCCTCCTGCCGCAGCCATGCCCTCCCCCCCCCCCCTGTGCCCCGGCGCGGCCGCCCTGGGAGCCAAACAATCTATCCCGCGGATCTGTCCCCGGGTGCCTACCGGCAAGAATTCCCCATGGACCTTTCACAACCCAACGGTGGGCACCATATGCCTGCCGCCACAAACTGGAGGTACACCACATGTCCTCCACCATGTACTGTTTCGTTACGACACCCATGGAACTGTGCCGTCTGATACCGCAACCTCTCTCCAGCCGTGGAGGCGCGGAAACCCCCGGAGGCACCCAGAAAGTCCACACACAGGAAGCAGAGCTCGATTCGCGAGCTTCGAGCTTCTCCTCTCCTCCGTCCACGGGAGGGCGGAGAACGGAGGACGAGGCGCAGGCTGGTGCTCACTGAGCGATAGGTCCCACAGGCCTCGTCGAAAGGGCGTGATGGCGCACTGTCCTGCAGCTCGGCCAGTGCGCTCACGTACTCGTCCGGCAGCGCGGGCCTCAACGACGCGGCGTGCTGCGCCATCTTGACGAACAGGCCCCCGTTCCGGCGGCAGAGCTCCGCGACCTCGGCAGAGCCTCGCGCGTGCGCCGCGAGCATCCGCTCCGCCAGCGCGGGGCCCTCGAGGGACCCCGGGGCCACGGCCGCCTTTGGTCGGGGAGCATCAAACAAACGAGCTCGAATGGACATGTTATCTGCGCGTGCGGGCGCAACAGGGCAAGACGGGGCCAGCAAGCAAGCTTGCAAGCAAGGCTAGGGTGCAAGCACGCGGACGGTCGAGAAATGATGCAGACAATCCAAAAGGAAACACGAAAACAGATGCAGCAAACCAGCCACGCTGGCAAGCAGTTGTGCAAGCAAGAGAGAAGCCGTGCCAGCGAGCAGCGGTCGTGCACACGGTCATGCGCGACAAGCGCGTAGGGTCGGGGCTGGTCGGGGCTACCTTCGGATAGTAGCAACCACGTGACGTCGGCGCAACAAGGCAGTGGGGCCAGTTAAAAGCAGCAGGGGCTGGGCAGTGGTGGAAAGGATGTTGTCGGCGCAGCGGGGCCGTGGGGCTATCAGTCGGGTTAAGATCGGGGCTGATTGCGACCACTGGGACTTCCAGCGCAGCGCGGCACGGCGCTCCAACTAGTCTTAGGTCGGGCATGCCCTCCTACAGGCAGATTGTCGAATAAAAATGAAAAGTCAAAACATGTTCATCATGTGTCAAAAACAATCGACAATGACGGTTCACAGCTATTAAAACTAGTAGAGGGACATGCCCGACTTAAAACTAGTCGAGGTTAGCTTGTGTTCCTCTACTTGGTGCTACGCCAAAATAGTAGTGCGGCCACCTTGGGATTGTCGGCGTCGCAAGCCAATTTCGCTTGTCGGGGCTGGCTGGCCGTCATGGCAAATACTGAGATTGTGGGCGCAAACGGGCAATTCACTGGCCTTGTCAAGGCGAAGGCAATAGGAAATGCCAGGACTGTCGGCGCAGAAAGGCAACGGAACTTGTTTGGGGCTGGCCAACCCGCCTACCTGGCACCTACTGCGACTCTCAGAGCAGCAGGGCTGGCAAGTGACACACATGCAAGCGAAGCAAGGCTCCTGATGTTGTCGGGGGTAGTGGGGACGAATTGGTCACTTCTATCGCACATGCAACAAGGCAGTCGGCAAACCAGGGGCACCTGGCTGCCAACATTGCCAACACAACAAGACAATAGGCTGGTCGGGGCTAGCCAGGGCTGGTGGTGGCAGTCGGGGCCAGCAGGCGGCAGCCATGGCCAACGCAGCCAAGAGAGCTTTTCTTTGCGACTCGCGATAATGGCCGTTACCGGGGATGCACCCCCTCCCCTTAGGTCAGGCATGTCCTCCTACAGGAGGATGTTGGACGAATTAATAGTATTCGAAAAAACAAATAATAATAAAATCGTTTGATTATTGGAGAATCGTTTGGATTTTCATTTTTTTTCGATGTTTTTGTTGCGTTCTGGCCTTTTCGCTTCCGGACGCTCCAAGAGGGCCCAAGAGGCCTTCAAGACTGCTCCAAGACGGCCCACGAGGCTCCCAAGACGGCCCCGGAGCGGCCCAAGAGCGCCCCCCAGACGGCCCAAGTGCTGCCCAAGGCGGACCAAGAGGCCCCACGACGGGCCCAAGAGGGGCTCAAGAAGGGAACCGAGAACTGAAAAATCGAGCCCTCCGCCCCAGAAGGCGCCCAGGACCCCGAAAGAGGCCCCAAGAGACTCTCCAAGACACCCCCAAGACGCCCCAAGAGGCGCCCAAGAGAACAATGTCCAAAAAACGCCCCCAAGAGGCCCAAACTCGGCTAGCCACAACGGTGCGACAATATGGGCCGGCGGACGGAATGAGCGAAGCGATTAAATAATAATAAAATCGTGCCCAGACTAATAATGGACTATTTTGAATATTCCTCCTGTACGAGGGCCACGCCGAACTTACCGGCCTCCACCTGGTAACGTCACGGTTCGCGCCAGCGCAGTTTGGAATTGCTAGGGGGCACCGTGCGTTCCTAGATCTGGGCCGTGCCCCGAACGTGACGTTCCTGGCGCGGATGGTGTCGCACAGGGGATTACAAAAACGGCCGAGAGCAATACGGAGGAGACCGAGGCTTGCCGACAACTCAAGGTGTCAAAATTGGTTGTCGGGAAGTTGAACATCGGAATTGCCACACAACAAAGGCAATAACTACAACCTGCAAGCAACATGCCAGCAGTATTGCAAAAATTATCCCGGCAAAGCAACCTAACAGCGATGTGTAGGAGCATATTTGGAAGCATTCCCCTTAAGATTCAAATGAGAATCCGGTTGTACAATTCTGCTGTTCTCGCAGTCGCAGTCGTAGTCGCATTCGCGATGGCAGTCGCAGTGGCAACGGAGGTCGCAGTCACAGCCTCAGCCTCAGCCTGCCTCAGCCTCAGCCTCAGCCTGCCTAAGCCTCAGCCTGCCACAGCCTCAGCCTCAGCCTTCAGCCTCTGCCTGCTTCAGCCTCAGCCTCGATCCGCCTTCAACCTCAGCCTCAGCCTCAGCCTGCCTCAGCTTCAGCCTGCATCAGCCTCAGCCTCAGCCTGCCTCAGCCTCAGCCTCAGCCTGCCTCAGCCTCAGCCTCAGCCTGCCTCAGCCTCAGCCTCAGCCTGCTTCAGCCTCAGCCCAGTCTGCCGTCAGCCTCGGCCTTCAGCCTCAGCCTGCTTCAGCCTTCAGCCTGCATCAGCCTCCAGCCTCACAGCACGAAGCACCCAGCTAGAAGGACAAAGCGCTACAGTGTGCACCGATGTGTTCGACGACTGCGTATGTAATGATGTGGCGATATACAGACAGAGCCCTTCGTGAATGTGTACATGTTTTTCTGACGCCTACAAACGGCGCTGACGTGCGGTGCAGAAAGTGTTCCGCGAGAAAGGCGGCGAAGCTGTGGCAAGACACTGCAGCTGCAAAAGGTTGCGAGCGGATCTTGGAATATGTTTACGGAACGGAGCTACGGTGTCTGAAAACATTGGCATCGAAGCGAAGAGGTCGAGCCCTGCAGCATGAGAAAACACCGCAGGAACTCGCATACTGAGAAGGAATGCATTGCAAACCGCACGCTGCGAACCCTGCAGGCTGAGAAGCACCGCAGGATGTCGCATGCTGAAAAGCACTTGTACTGCAGAGCGCAAGCTGCGTAACCTGCAGGCTGAGAAGCACCGCAGGAACTCGCATGCTTTCGAACACTACTGCTCGAGACCGCAACTGGAAGAGCGGCAGGGACCGCAGCTGAGAAGCACCGCGGGCAGAGGAGACTTGCAAAAAAACTCAGATGTTCCTGATTCGTCTGGAGGAAGTCACGGGGTTTTCGGCGGCTGCCAAGAATCGATGATGCGCCGGGACCCACCGCCCGTGCTGCCGCCGAATTGCCCCCTTTTTCCAGGGAGTCGCCATCGCCCCTGAACAGACGGCCGGGCCCCCGTGGCCGCACGCCAGAATCGCTTGGGTTGCGATTGAAAGCAGCGCTCCGCTCCTCAAACATCTGCAACACGCCCCTGCATGCTGCGCGTGTGGTTAGGCTGCCTGGCAGGCCTGGGCAGACAGATTATAGGGAAAGCCGCTCCCCCTCGTTGTAGCGCGCGATGGCCCGGCCTTCTGGTGGTTGCAGCCGGCGCCGCTGTCTGCCGCAGAGCTCCTCGGGAACTGCTGCATCACTGCCCTTCACTGTGATCAGCTTGACAACGCGTGCGTTTAACCAATCACGTCGAAATGCGCCTTGAGAAAGGCCAGCACATCCCTAGAATTGTTTAGTGTACCGGCCGCACGTTGCAAATGGCGATGCCACCCGCTTACGCTTCTGGTATTTCACAAAAAACTTGGCGACGCTACCCAGGGACCTGCACCCTTGGCCTGGCCACCTTTCCCCGCAGGCTGAGAAGCACCGTGAGAACCTTTCTAACCGCCTGGCCCTTTGTTAGGACCCTGCGGAACACATGGCCCCCTTGTGGCGCAGACTTGCCTCTCGCTTTTCCCTTTTCGACATCCCCGTCCTGAAGCGCACGCTGCTGCCGCGACTGCTCGTGCGGTTCGCAGATTAAATCTGGACCCAATTCCTGGCGCCCAGGCTCCGTGAGAACGCAGCGCAAGTCGTCGATGTTCTTGCTCCGCAGAAAGTCATGTCGAAGCTTAAGGACAGAGAGAATGGTTCGGCCAGTCTCCTCCTGAGACGCAAAGGCCGCGTCATATTCCGAGCCAGGCTGAGGGCGCCAGCTGGATCAGCGTCCGCTGGGCTCCGTGAGATGTGCCTAATCCCCCCCTTTGAAAAGCAAGAGGATGAGAGATGGAGGACTTTTTGGATCGTACTTTCCCTCGGTCTTTTTTTAACCTGTATCGCCCAAAGCGTTCCTCAGCTCCCTGTGCAAGTCGTCCGCGCGATTTGAACGACATCCTCGACGTAGTCGGGAACACCCGGTGAAGTCGGGGAAAGCGGAGGAGCAAGAAAACTCGGCGACCGATTCCCAATGCACAGAAGACTCGCGGTCCGCCTGTACGCTGACGTCGGCGTCGGAGACGTTCGACGACAATTTTCCGCCTCTTGCTCTCCCAGCTTGAATAGCACCAGGAAGAGTGAGCACAACCGCCACCGCATCGTGTGCGTCGTTGCGCATGCCACGATCCGTAGAAGACGCGCCAACGGCAATGGAGCAGAAACGGGCGACTGGTCCGCAGACCGCGACGTGGTCGCCTTTGAGGTCGGCCGGAGTGGCATGGACCTCCCAGAGCTTCTCGTCGTTCTGCTGGCGCTGGAAAGCCTCCCGCGCCTCCTGGAAAGTCAGGTTGTCGACGCCGACTGCAAGCAGAACGACTGGCACGCGCGGCTCCGAAGCATTGAGAAGCTGAGCGATGCCGCCCAGGCGCAATCGGAGATGGCGAACTGTCCGCTTTCGAGTCTGAATGCTCGGCGGTTTCTTGCCGCAGACGATGCGCATGTTGGCGATCACCCGGGAACTGTCATTGCCCTGGTTTGTCACCTCAAAATGTGAAAGAACAGCATCAATATCTCGGACACTAGGAGGCCTCGCTAAACTTGCTGTCTCGCACCGAGGTCAGTTTCCGCAGGATGAGAAGCACCGCGGAAACCCCAGAAGAGTCAAGTAGTTGTCGACCCCCAGAAGCGATTG